GGGTGATCTTGATGCAAGGATCAGAAGCGCGATGAAATGAGGTGTTATTTTCTTTAAGGGTACCAGAGTATGTTGTTCCGTTGCCTGTTTCTTCGTTTATTAGTTGTAGGTGGTTTGTAATGTACAGTGTACAGGTATCCACTTTCGTAAAGTGCTTTTTGATATAGAGGGGCGGCTTGGTCGAAGGATACTTTGTTGGATGAAAGGGATGACAGTCGTTTATTGATGCCGGCGGGTATGTTCTTTGTGGTGATTGGTAGGTGGTTGCTTTCGCGGTGGACGTAATGTAGTGTGGTGTTAGGCTTTGTGAAGAGCTGGTAGGTGCTTTTGTTCAAGTTGAAAGTGACGTCTAGGAAGTTGATGGTCTGTTTGTTGGCTTCGATGGCGATACCGCATCTTTGATTAAAGATGCGGTATATTTCTTTTTTGATGTTTACTGTATCTCACGGTGTGGCGTTTGGAATCGCCAGTCTACCTGGTCCATGGATTGAAAAACAATAGCGTCTTCTCGGAATATGCGGGCGCTCATTCTGCGCAGCACAGGATGCGCAGTGCAAAATTGAAGAATCACCTTAATTACAAAATTGTGACGACAAAAGTGTGGGATTTGAAAATCCGGTATCAAATTCTCGTTCTGTTATCCAAAGTTTTTATGAGTCTGTTCACGAGAGGACCGGGCAGACGTGACACATGCCATCTCGCTGATTTCTTTCAAACTTTCACAGTTTATAAGGGTCACTAAGTTATATTTAAGTTCGCAAGGCAACCAGGTGGACAATCAGACATGGTATGATGCTACTCTGGTTTAAAGATTTAATAAATTTTGAATGGCCGTCAAAGTTATTCAAAAACCTTTTCAGACTTTAGAGCATATTTTTGCCAAACCTAAGGATCCTGTCACTAAAGAACAACGAACCGACACTATTTATTCCATTGCGTGCAATGACTCTGATCACGAGTTTGTCGAACAGACCAAACGTCAGCTTAGTAGACGTTTGAAAGAGCATCAGAAAGTGTTCTTCTTCTTGTCGGAGTGCACATGCCTAACTAATCATGCAATTGGGTGGGATAATTCTGAAATTACTATCAGCGCCTTTGATTGGAAGCCTGGCATATCAACTCCGCCCACGCTCCTTTAACTCGTGATGATGGCGGCTTATTACCTTAAGGCCATTTACACCACGTCAGAAAAAAGTGCAGCCAATTAGTAATCATTTATAAGGACCTCTTGTTGTAGCGATTAGATCACTGATGAAGGCACGACTAGGAGTGTCGAAACGCTGGGTCTATGAATTGTAACTTTTCGGTTACATTCATTAAATCTTTAAGCCAGAGGAACATCAAACCATGTCTGGTCACTAAGTTACTCAAGAATCCAGAGTAGTTCGGGCTCCCGGCTTATGCCTGGGGTATTAGAGCCCCCACATTAAATCCCTGGGGTAAAAGGCTAAAATTAGCTCGAAAAATGCACTTCCAACGAATCTCTCTCACTTTAACAGAATGCGATGGATTTTTATCTTATTTTGTCCAAGGGTTGTTTGAACCTTGAGGCAACAATTCCTTGAAGCTGGGATAATTTGATTTAACTTCTACCGATAAAGAGCAGTTAATCATTAACGGCGTTACGCATCTATTCCAAAAAAGAAAAAGATAGGGTTTTTTAATTGCAAATATCTCCAATGGACAACATTGTGTGTCGACAAACATACTATCACAAGAAAAAACTATTAAACAATTTTGGGTCATAAACTGATGTTCATTCGCTCAATTTCACTTTGAGAATGGGATCATAAACGCCTCTTTTACTCACGCTGAAGGTGATGATTCCATAGGTTACGACTCGATTCAGGAAATTGGGCTTATTAAAGGCTGATAGCCTGCTCAATGCACCATAATTTTTGTTTCTTCAATGGGAAACTTTGGAGAAGACTCCATCGAATTTAAGGTACATTACAGGAAAGTTGTTCCTGTTTGACCTTGTAGGGTAGAATAGAGTAAAGTAGTCTATATTTACTTTCCTCTGCGGAGGCTATTCTGAATTAATTATAAAACTTTGCGGGGGACTTTGACTAGACTGCGTTGAGGAGTTTGCAATTTTTGGGAGGAAGTGTTGCCATTGCCCCCGAAATCGGAATTAAGGCCAAACCATAAGAGCGTGAGCTACGTTCTCTTCTCTTCACAAAAAGTGCGTTGGTTGTTTAACTTCTCTTGCTGACCAGTTATGGCAACTCGGGGCTAAGATGCTGCGGCATGAAACCTCCCAACATCCATAGCTGGCTGGCTAAGTGGCTGGATTACTTTTATCACATGACCGTACGGCTTTGCGAGCGCAATCCTTTAGAAAACTATAATAAAAACTTTAATATGAGCAGGTCTGGAAAAAGCCGTCCTGGCCTTGCACTAACACAATTTTGCCGCAAAAACTTAAAGGAAAAAGGAAAATCGATAAAAAAGTCGCGTTTTTCGTTGAATTATGTGTCTTTCTAGCTCCATCTCAAGAAAACAGGGATGAGTTTGTATTCTAGAATCGTTTTTTGTGGTTTTCCCGCGTGCACCCGTCTATCGCGTCCTATTTAGGTTGAAACAAAGTTTTCGAAATTTTCAGCATTTAGTGGTCATATAATTAAATGCTTATTGACCGAGTTTGTACGAGCTAGACAGGAAAATATTTTGCACTCGGTCATATTTGGCACGTCGCTGCGCTCGGTCTGTATGTCATGATTTCGAGCCAAATATTTTCCGTCTGGCCCTCACACTTAGTCAATAAGTACATATTTTTTCTTTTGGAACTCATGGAGAACTGTATTTTTGAGACTGACCCAGTAAAAAAAATGCCCTTTCCCACACTGTACACTTTCCAAGCTCTCGTCCAAACAGACTCAAAAGAAAATTTGTTCAATGCTTTGATGCCAGCCGTAATGTACCTCCTCATATTTTGGAAAGAGTCTTCAATTTTTGCAACAGTGGATGCAGCCTCTTGTCTCGGAAAAGAAAGACATGAGCAACACCACCTCTAAGCTTATTGCCACTGTAGAGATAAAGCTCCATTACATAAAACAGCCTAAACCACCATCATTCAAACCCTTTGAAACTAAATTGAATCCTTGGTTCGTTTTATTGTGTACGTTTGATGATAATGGTGTTCTGGGTCCTCCAAAGACTTAAAGTGCAAAAGTCCTAACAATCTCATCAAAATTATAAATATTTTTGCATTTAAAAAAGCTTAGCAAAATACGCATAAAATGGAAAAGCGTACTATCAAAAATAGCAATGGGATCACAAAATATTGCAGAAAAAGGAGTTGTGCTTGTGGCTACGCAACTCGGTTAATCCAAAACACTATCATCATTACTAGATTAAAGTTTTTATAGCAAAACATTTCAAATAAATTCTGAGACATAGTAGAATCTAATTTTGAGTTTAATGATAAAAAAAATCAAAATCAAATCAAATCCACAAAAATGCTATATTTAAATCCCTCAAGATGAATTGGTGCTGGAGTTAAGTTAATTACGTCACTTATAAACATTGATTACTTCGTAAATATAATAAGCCAGAGATGGTAAGTTTTGAGCTCGGTAAAGAAATAGAGGAAGATGTTTTTCGTCTTGTCACGAGCATGGGACAAAGAAAAAAATTCCGAGTCTTCATGAGGTTCGATTCCTCATGAGGACTCAGTTTTTTTTTCCTTTATCCCACGCTCGTGGCAAGACGAAAAACATCTTCCTCTATTGACTACTTCTTCAGAACAAGTCGGTCCCATGCTCTTCTCCTTGTTTTCCAACTGAAAACACAATTTTTTTGGTTTTTGTGAAAGTGTTGTTGTGATTGTTTACAATACAAGGACCTATTTTCATTGTCGTTCAGAGTCAGTGGGAAAAATTTATGCTCAAAATAAATTCATACAACGTCTCATTGGCTTTATGTAATTCAATTTTTTTCTGGGGAATTTTTTATTCCTCTTTATAATAGTTTGGCCCATTATGGAAATGGTTACACTGCACTCCATGCATTATACAATGTCCCTACCAATTACTTCGTGAAATGTGCACAATCTGTCAAAGAATTTTTGATATTGTAGACAAAAGAAAAAAGCACACGCTACAACCGCGAACGTATTGCGGGTAGGTATTAGCCCTTGGTTCCTTGACCTCAGGATTTCAGGGAAATCTGAGAAAGCATAACTGTGAGGACGGAGTCCTCGCGATCTCTTCTTGTTAAGAGGATGATGAAAGCGCGGTCTCAAGCGCACGAGGTTTAAAATTCAACGAAATTTGCGAAGAAAAAAAAGGCTGGCATTTAAAAGTGAGGCATTTTCTTGTAGTTGAAGGCATTTTCCTATTACAGGTGTTTTTACGGAGAAAATTAATTTTTGAAAACATTTAGGGGGTGTAAAACGTAAAGGGAATCAACGCCTAGAAGCAACATCACGGAAATTCAAAAAAGCAAACGACTCAAAATCCATTACCGCGCCAATCAGACAAAAGTCCCCTTTGTTCTCAAAATCGGTTTCCGAAGACGTTTTTAAGCTCTGTTGGCGGATTGTGCATATATTATTTTTGTTTTAGAAGCTACTTTGGCCCGAGTGCTGGGCCATCAAATCTGTCTTACCACCAATCTAAGAGATACGTACCATTCAGACTGTCATCATTGATACTGAGGGAGGGGTAGTCAAAACGTCGAATTATCCAAAGATCATAGTATTGCACAGAAAAAAAAAATTATGATAACTTTTTTTCCTTATGGAAAGCCCCTTTGAAAACCATCTGATACTGTCTAACTTATTCTCTCACTAATGATGAATCACAAAAGGACGGATGGACATACCTCTCCTCATGGGTCACTAGCTACGCACGCGCTTTACAACTCACCCTTAAATTGAGATAGGTGTTTCTTGATCGTGTGGCCAGTTTTATTTTGTGTCTTGGGGTGAAGGCTGTGTTTTTGATTTGACAGAACACAAAAGTGTGTAAGTTGTGTACAATGTATCGTCCTTTCAGGAACCTAAACTTTTTCAAATTCTTGATTTGGCTGAGTTTGCTGTTCTCCTAACATTACGTTCGTAAGATATCAGTTTGATTGATTTTATTTGCGATTCGCCTGCTTGTGAACTCAGTCACATTAATGTTAAGTAGGCTGTTGACATTTACTTGGCGTTCCTGGTTGTGCTTCAATTCGCTTGGTGATTGTTTTAACTAATCACAGTTTAAACATTCTTGTTTTCCCGCGCTGAACCCATTTTTACTGCTCGTTTACTTCTCGTGATATTTTCTATTTTAGATTGGCCGACGTGAGTTTGGTTTCACGATGATCGATCGCAAACCTCTCTGTTCCAGTCAAGTGAAAGAAAAGGTAGGAGCCTTCTGTTTCCTGTATTTCTTTTGTTCCAAGGCGACTGTTTTCGCTCGAAGCACTCTTTGTATTACTGTAGACATTTGTTCAGATCATCTTGTAACTTAAGTAGCTTCTCTTGATGGCATTTCCCACAACACTCCTTAGTTTGTCCATCACATCCTTCTTTGTCTTTTAGGTTTGATGGAGCATTTTCCGCAGATAGCTTTTCTGTGTGTAAGTTCTTTTTTCTTCTGCTAACCGGTATTTGTCTTTTCCGCTCATTATTCACAGTCCAGGGTCCCAAACTAGCGTTTGCGTAAAAATCCATTGGGTAATTTTCTTGCCATTCGATTTGTTCAAGCACAACTGACGCCTGTAAATTAAACGAAAAAAATTCCAATAAGAACATTTTTCAACTGACTGAAAAAAGCAAACCACTATACCACTGCTTTTGCTGTTTTTCGTGCTATGATGGGTCTAAATACTTACGTCACTCTCTCATCCAATCGGAAAAAAACTAAAACGAATCTACACTTTTTTCAGTGAGTGTCCAAAACTCAAAACCAAAATAATCACAACTACCAATCTGAACAAAGGTTAACATCATCATTAATCAATGAGAACTCAAAGTAAAAACAGGCAACGTGCCTGAAGCGCGGGAAAACGCGAGTTACCAAGTCGTGATTGGTTTTAGTTTTGTATCTGATTGGTTGAGATGGTGGCGCGAGTTTTTAGGACCAATCACAGGGTGAAAGAAAGTAAAGACAAAGCTATTCCAGATCACTTTTCGACACCCGGTGGAAAATGTCTCTACCCGCGCTTACTTGCATTTTGTTGTTAGTCTCGAAATTGAAACTATTTGATTCGGTTTCTGTATAAAAACGAGAACCGTCAAGTTCCCGGTTTGTGTTATGCATCTGAACATTTGTGTTATGCATCTAAACATTTGTCTCCCGCAGATGACATGGACCTTACCTTTCAAGATATTTGTTAACATGCTCAACTGGATTTGATAGTAATGAAATTCAATTATTTTACCTCATAAGGCGACAGTAGAGGTTTAGGAAAAGCTTAGCCACAGTCAATGGACAATCGTGGACAAGCCACTTGCACCCATCTACAAAGTGACAAAGAAATATCAGTAAACCTTGGAAGCTAAGCTACGTTTTAGTTGCAGACGGGGTTCGAACCCTTTTTTAGGAACAAATTTCAAGGACTATTTCTAGACTTTTCCAGGACTCAGGCTGATTTCTTCAGGTCTCCAAATTTCCTCTCCTACCCTTTCATAACCAAGATTTCAACATCAATTCATCAATTCTCCTTACAGTCGACATAGAATTCTTATAACTTAAATTCTGAAAACTTTATTCTTGATTTTGACAGATTTCCGGGACTTTCCAGAACCTGTAGTCTTTGTTCCACGACTTTCCATCCTGGAAAAAGTCAAAATAAAATTCCAGGACTTTCCAGGTTTTCCAGGACTCGTACGAAGCTTGCGCAGATGGGTTGGAGTCACACTCATAGGCAAGACGGACCACAGTATGAAATCGACAATTTAACGAGTTTTAGTAGCATGCTGGAAAAGTTTCCCATACGGTGACATTTTATAACGTCATCGACGGAAGAAGGAAGGAAGATGGCTCATTCCTCAACCAAACTTTTGAATTTCAGGAATTGAAGAAGCACTATCTTTCAATAGATTTCATTCGTGGTTGGTAGTTTTTTCCAATATTCGTAATCAAATGGAGCCTATCTCTTTTTTTTTTTTTTTTTTTTTTGGGGCGGTACATTTGAAAAAGACTTATTAATATGAGATTTTTTGTTAAGGACACTTGACAAAACAGAATTTACGTGAAGACGGTTCTTATCTTATCTTGTCTTATCGACGGAAAGCAGTTTTCACATCTTAACAAGAAAGCAACTTACGTTTCCACGTCCTCGCACAATCCAAGTTTACCTCGGAATATTTCAGACAGGAGTACAATTACATATTCCAGGCCCGCCTTACTGAATCGTTGTTCAAAATTCTGCAGATAAAATTAAAAGATTAATGAAATCTGCTTTATGAGCTCTTTGGAAAAGATGATAACATGAATAATAATCGTCACGAGAAAAATATCCCTGAACTAGAGGTGTCCCCTCAATGACGGCATCGAATACAAGGGTTTTAATCAAAGTTTATGTCCCTCAAATAGAGAAAACGTTTAAATAAGGATGCCCAAAAAATAGAGATTCCTCTGCATAGACGAAAATATTCGACACATTACATCGTAAGAAAACTGGAGAATTTAAATTTAAATGTGCAGCCTCCCCCAAAGTTAATTGCATCAGAGAAAATTATAATTTAGATGCGAGAATGACTTGATTTTGTCTAGAGAGAGTTTGAGTCATGTCTTAGAGTGCATTTCGATAGTGTGCCGTAATACCCAAACCATATTAGTCACCAGCAAATGTCCAATCACTACGTTGGAAAATATTATCAAAACCCGATGGGAACTAAAATTAAAAGGTACAGTGAGAGCAACATTATTGACCGAGTCACGACTGGTATTTGCCTTGCACCTGATTGGTTGAGAGGGTAACTTGGATTGTTCACGTCAGTCAACCCATGACATGGCGAACTGATTGCCGATTACTTTCAACACACAACTGAAGGTTTAATTTTGACTCGCACAAAGTAGAACTCCGTTCAAAAAGTATATTTACTCATAAAATTTTCACATTTTAACTGTATGCAATACCTCTAGCACCTTTAGACTTCCTTGCCTTCCCAAAGTACTTAGAATGAATCCAAATTTCTTAGCTCTTGACGCTGTAGTTATGGCGTCTTTCCTCGCTTGAAACGTGGCATCAATATCGTAATATTCCCTGTAAAACACTTTGCTATAGGGATCGTATCTGCGATGAAAGCGAAAGTGCAGTAGAATTTTAGTTCAAAGTTGTTTGTCTCAAAGGCCCAGAAAGGTATACAATATCTAACAATCCAAAGCGTACAAGGCGGTAGGGGTCTGTTTTAGTGAGGGCATAGGGAAAACATTGGAACAGACGGGAATTGCACTCTGTCCACACGGACAGTATGCCTTTACTAGAAGCAAACAATTTTGTAATCGAAAAAGTGATGAATTTTTATTCACGGAATTACACGAAAGAGGTCTGAAAAAATCAGGTTTCAATGATGGCTCAATCTGTACTGCCTCTCTAGCTGTTGAGCACTGCAACCAATTTAAATAATATGAAGCTACATGTTAGGCAAGGCAAGGCTATTTGTTACACGTAAAGAAATCTGCCTTTTGAAGTTCTCTATGTGTACCTATATGATGGTGTAGATGAGTTAGCAATCATGACAGCCTCTCGATGGAACTTTCCATCACCTAAGTAACTAAAAAAACAGTTTAAGTTTAAAGATCATTCCAGTGAAAAAATTGAAACAAGTACCTGCTGTGGTCGGTGGCATGTGCCTAAATGATAGCCACTGCTTACAATCAAACTGGTAAATACAGTGACAAAAAACAAGCATTTAATTAGGAAGTGATCTTTGCAATAATATCACATTAATCACAAACATAACACCCACTTATCTGTTTCTCAATTTAGTTTTTAATAACACTTTTACTCAATTTCAACCCAATTAAATGATGAACCCTTTCACTCCCATGAGTGACCAAGATAGAATTTCTCCTTACAATAACATCTCAGTTAGGGTATTTGTAGTTCATCCAATATCAAATTCTCCAAACCAACATCATAGGAATTGTATGGTAGACAGTAAGGAGAATTACTAATGAGATCTTGGGAATGAAAGGGTTACATGATTTTAAGTAAGTCCTCAGAACAAACATGATTATTTTAGTCAAAGTGGGCACCGTTGTTGCTAGGCAACATTACTAAACAATAAATATGCCATGGACACAATTGGAAGAATGCCAAACAATTCGTCCACAAATAAGACAGAGGCTAGATGGGGGTTTTCCTGACAAAACAAAAGACATCGTGAAAACATGAACAAACTGCCTAATTTTCATCCTAACTACAGTGATCCTTGGCTCTGAACATTGTTTTATTTATAAGCAAATAGCTTCAGATCTAATGGTGCAATTTTTTATTGAAACTAAACCACTACATTACTTACAACTAGATTTGCCAATACAAATAATAAGAAAGATTTCCAAAAGAATGTTCAAATTTGTTTAAGAATACTCGCTATGAAAAAGTTGGTGCAGTTTTCTTAAATTCACAATGAACTAAATTACATAATTATTTCCTTGTTTTGCTTAATAATTTTCTTACATGAATGCATCCTTGTGTTTTATTCTGGCTGCAGTGCAGCCCAGAATCTCTCCAACAACAGACAACAGTTTACACTGCGGAATCTCTACCTGATAATCTTTACACAGGTCTAAATATACAGCCTGGGTAAACAACAAATTAAATACGTATATGTAAAAATTATTTTAAAGTATGAAGACATTAAAGGGAGACACTGGGTCCAAACCTCAGGGTTTAAGTCTCAGCCAAGTCACTGTGTTGCATTCTCTCTCCCCTCTCTGTAGCCTGGAGAGAAATGGGTACTGGTGAGTTGTCATGGAGACTTGACAAAATGTCTGATGGTTAACCATGTGAGATGCTCCTCCCATCTAGAAGAAGCAGTTGGTTGACCAACTGTCAACTGACTTTTGACCGACTGTTGACTGACTGTCAACCGAGTGTCGACTGACTGTCGACCAATATATCGGTCAAGTATCAACTGACTCTCGACCAATATATTGACTGTTATATCAGTCGAGAGTACCTGCAGTAAACATGATCCCAATACTGTCCCATCAGTGTAATCATTTAATACATACTTCAAGTGTTGTCACAAACTGGATTGTGCTCAAAAGTGCAAGTGACTTTCCTGTTGTGTTGCTCAAGCATCAGACCATCAGTGACACACTTGTACTGAACAGATACACGGCAACATAGAATCATTTTGTTAATTGACAAATACCTGGTATACTTAGGCAAGCTGTCACTAGGTAAACAGCTGGCTTGCTGTCTATTCAAAGTGATATAATTATCCACTGCTACTTTTTATGATCCTTCCAACATATGAAATGCATCAAACAATTTATGTATACAAATAACATTTACACATAATTATAAAAGTTTGGTAGGAATTGGTTTGAAATACCTTTCTAAAATGTCTGCTATAGTGCAAGCGTACAACAGAAGTCCTTCAAGGAAGTGTAAAGCCTCTGATGATTGAAAAAAAAAAAAATAAACAGAACATGATACTGACATTGATTTATGCCTATTGTGGTTGAAGATGACATCATATTTTTTTATTTTTTTTCATGGCACAATGACTTGTGCTTTGAAACTTATCATTTTGTACATTTAAAGGCCAAGGTCTGCATACAAGATCAAATGACAATAGCATGTATTGATAAGGAGAACTGCATTTCCACCTCACCCTTTCTTTTGTACTCATGGAAGATGCCATTATGCTGCAGCATAATGGTTAGTGCGCTGGACTCTGGCTGGAGAGGTCTGGGTTTGAGACCAAGTACTGGTCTGGCTTGGTCATTCTGTTGTGTTCTTTGACAAACCACTTTATTCTCACAATGTCTCTCTCTACCTAGGAGTATCAACAGATACAGGCCAATTGTCAGGGAAGTCAGATAAAATACTGGGGAGTAACCTTGTGATGGACCAGCATTCCATCTGGGGGGAGTTGTAATACTCCTTGTTGCTTCATGCTAAGAAAACCCAAATAAGCTCCACTTGAATCAGGGCCACTTGGCTAGAGTAAGGACTTCATCTTTTTTCCTTTGCACTTGGGTGGAGAAAGGCATTATGAGGTGGAGTCAAGTGTGTTGCATAAGAACAAGACACAAACAAAAATTAACAACTAATGTGGCTTATTTACCTCTTTTAGCATTTATTTCTTAACTCCTCCACACTGACTTGAAGATTTCAAAATTGTAGTTAGGAGGTAACTGTTGTAAAAGGAATAATTACCTCAGTCAGAAAGCAATATTTACCCTGATCTCTATAGGTGTAGAATCTGATATATAGAAAATGAATTGTAGCTGGTTGGTCAAACTATTGTGACCTGTTTTTGATGATGACCATTCCAGAAAGATAACAGTTACCTAGAACACATTCTTTGTAAATGCCTCACATTTCAAATACATGTAAAAAAAGATGCAAAAAGAGAGTGGACGGACAAGGATGGTTAATTTAGTACACAGACTGCAAAATTAAAATAAACTTGAAAAATAAGACCTGATTCTCAAATAACAATCCTAGAGGCCTCAGTGACATCATGACATGCTGAAAAGGATTTAAGTTTCTGGAGAGCAACTTACAATGCATTTATACTTGAAGAAGTCACATTTTAATTTCTTTCCACACTCAGTCTGCTGACAGAAAATCCCAATGATGAACCTAGTTGGATTTTATAAAACAAAACTGTTGAAAGGGGGCTTTAAAGTAATTAACATACTTTTTCAACCCTTTTACTCCCAAGATCTCATTAGTAATTCTCCTTACTGTCTGCCCAACAATTCTTTTAATGTTAGTTCTGAGAAGTTGGATATTGGATCAACTTATAATCCCCTAATTGATATTTTTCTTTATTCTCATCACTTTTCTGCTTGATATTGTACTGATATTGTGACTATTATATGACTACAGTGACTATTTTTTTTTTTTTAATTCCTTGACAATATTTTCTCAAGGAACAGAAAGTTTGATCTGAATATTTCGGCAAGATTTCCGTACAGCCCCATACAATTGTAAAACAAAGGTAATCTATTGTTTTCGCCATCGTTTTCTTTCAGTTATCCAAGATATGTATGCATAATGAAGAAGGAAGCTGAGCAGAAATCTTACCATATTATCCCCCAGACTTAGGCATGTATACTGGGTACAGGGCTGGGGATTTCGACTAGTATATCAAATTATGTGTAACAGTGGAAGGTTACAGATAAGGAAATTAAAACAAAATAAACCAAAACAAACAAACAAAACAATTTATATTTATCCATTTATTGCGCTTAGGATACATATTAGAGTACGACATGAACGTAAAAATTATATTGTGTGCAGCTAAAGGAAAGGAATACGACAAAAAAGGAAGAGAAAGGAAGAAATTGCGTTAAAAATCGGTTTGAGTGTGGGAACGATTACAATTCTGTCCCTTCTACGTAAGCGTGAGCACGTGCATGGTGAGTTATAAGCCGATATCAATTACAACGTACCTACGACTTTTTCAGTCGACTTTCCAGCATTAGACTTAGTTCCCACAAATCTCCTTCTTATGTTGTTCTCGGCAGAAACCCGAGTACAACTCGCTTTGTCCTCCAACGTGCGGCCATCTAATGCCTCGGCCATGTTTGATAAGTAAACTATGTTTCTCACCGCATATCAAGCCTTTAAGGCTGTGACCTAAAGTAACATTATGACGTGGGGACTGGGACTCGGGGACGTGGGACTCTAAGACGTAAGACTCGGGATAGTTTCAACGCAAGGGATCTTGAAACTGTTAAAAACATCGTGGGCAGCTATGGAGGACTTTCCTGGTAAGTAACTGTGTTTTCTTCCTTATTATTTTTTATCAAGGATTAGGCACGGATCGAGAAGAAAACACAGTTACTTACCAGGAAAGTCCTCCATAGCTGCCCTCGATGTTTTTAATGTAACTCTGTAACCAGAGTTCTCACGGTCAAATAAGCAAGCAAACATGTCCGGCCGAACCATGTACGCTGAAAACCATCGGCTACTACTAACAAGCATTCCAGTATATAATAGCTCTCTTGAGACCACCGAAAATTATACTCTACAAATTCAGCGCAAATATCAGGTGTTGTTTGTTTATCACTTCCCCGAGTCCCCGCGTCTACGTCCCCGAGTCCCACGTTCCCGAGTCTTACGTCACCAAGTCTCACGTCACCAAGTCCCACGTCTCCAAGTCCCACGTCTCCGAGTCCCACGTCTCCGAGTCCCACGCCTCCGAGTTCCACGTCTCCGTGTCCTACGTCTCCGAGTCCTACGTCCCCGAGTCTCACGTCCCCGAGTCTCACGTCCCCGAGTCTCACGTCCCCGAGTCCAACGTCCCCGTCTCCAACGTCCCCGTCCTACTTTTAGTCACAGCCAGGACTTAGTGTCAACCGCTGGCATAAAAAGATATTGAGCTACTGTGGATTCCTTCATGGAAAGTGGTGTCGTGGGATATTTACGCACGAGTTCGTTTTCACAAAACGGACGAATGAGGCTAAGCGAGTGAGTGAGTTTGTTTATTACATACGAACTGAGATTTTCTTGAAATTCAAAATGATTTATCAAGTCGCTTTTATAAGTATTCACTTAGGTTTGAAAGCTAATTCTAAGTAGCTAACAAATAATTGCCTTACAAGTTAAATCAAGGCTAGAAATGGTAAAATTTAATACTGAAATAAATTAACTAAGCTTACAGCATGACAGTTTATTAGCAACGAATTAATTTTCGTGAGTATTCATTCAAGAATATCCTGAACAAAAAGGAAGAAAAGCTTGACAAAAATAAGTTCTTAGCTTTTCAACGAAGCTGACTTTTTCTATGTCAAGGTTGACTCGTGTAGTGTCTTCGTCGTCTGAAGAGTCAAATATACATTTTATTCCTCTATAAGTTTGTCGGTTTATGTGCTTCTGTTGAAGACGAGGACGAGTTGATGTTGAAATTTCTTCCGTAAAGCACAGCATCCTCGAATAGCTCTGCTGCTGTCGGCGTTGGACTTTGTTGTTATGTTCAGTTTCGACAAGAGAGTGTGTTTCAGTTTGAACTATTGAAGTCGAGCCACTCAGTAATTTTGACATACTTTTCCGTTGTTTTTTGTGAAACATGACTGTAGTTATAAATACTCTGCACATTTTTGTGTCCTGATAACTGCATTATATATGATAAGGAGGATTACCCTTATCATTCAACGTTTGAATCATTCGTTTTCACGCACTGTGGTTCGTAAGGTGAGAGTTGTCAAGACCGTCTTTTTCAGCTGTTGTTTTCATGAGACTGTTAACTCCCATTGCATTGGCTTTGAACCAACTTTCACCAAAGTTTTTTGTAGCATGATTAACACCCAGATAAAGGGACCGTGAAGCCTAAGGTTCTCCGATAAGAGGAAATAAATGTTTCATTTTTGGATGCTCAAATCCATCTGAAGTTGTGAAA